AGGTTGGCGAGGGAAGCTGTTGAGTAGATGGGTGTTGGGTTGGAGACGGAGATTGTTCAGTACTGGGTGTTGTGTTGGACAAGGGATCGGGGGCCCGGCGGCCGGCGGGCGGGGGGGGAATCGGCGAGCGGCGGTCAGCGGACGACGGAGGTTGTTGACTACATGGGTGTTGGTCTGGACAAGGGATCGGGGGCCGGCGGGCGGCGGGCGGCGGGCTGTCGGCGGGCAACGGTCGGCGGTGTTGCGGAGTAGATCGGTGTTGTGTTGGAGCGGAAGCTGTGGAGCACATGAATGTCTGGTTGGAGAGGGAGGTTGTCGAATACGTGGCCGTTGTGTTGGCGATGGAGGTCGGCGAGGGAGGTTGGTGAGTAGATGAGTGTTGTGTTGGAGAGGGAAGCTGTTGAGTAGATGGGTGTGGAAAGTTGTCGAGTAGATGGGTGTTGTGTTGGAGAGGGAAGCTGTTGAGTAGATGGATGCTGTGTTGGAGAGAGGTTGCTGAGTACATCGGTGTTGTGTTGGAGAAGGGATCGGGGGCCGGCGGACGGCGGGCAGCGGGCGGTCGGCTGGCGGCTGTCGGCGGGCGGCGGGCGGGATCGGGGTTTCAAATGTACCTAAGAAGCATCTCTTGCAGTGGGGGCTGTGGAGCACATGAGCGTTGTGTTGGAGAAGGATGCTGTTGAGTAGATAGGTGTTGCGTTGGAGCGGAGGCTGTAGAGCACATGAGTGTTTGGTTGGAGAGAGGGGTTGTTGAGTAGATGGCTGTTGTGTTGGAGAGGGAGGTTGGCGAGGGAGATTGTGGAGTAGATGGGTGTTGTGTTGGAGAGGGAAGCTGTTGAGTAGATGGGTGTTGTGTTGGAGACGGAGATTGTTCAGTACTGGGTGTTGTGTTGGACAAGGGATCGGGCGGCGGGTGCATTTCCCAGGAAGCATCTCTTGCAGCGGAGGCCGTGGAGCACATGAGTGTTGTGTTGGAGAGGGAGGCTGTTGAATAGATGGGTGCTGTGTTGGAGAGGGAAGCTGCTGAGTGGATGGACGGATTGCAATAAAACCAAGGATTGCAAAAAAACGAAGGATTGTAAAAAACCGAAGGATTGCAAAACAACCCAAGAATTTGCAAAAACAACTCGTTGTTGAGTACATGGGTTTTATCTGGGACAAAGGGTTGGGGGCCGGCGGGCGGCGGGCGGCGGCTTCCCGGGGTCTCCCAAAGGGCCTCTCAGAAGCTTCCCGAGGTTTCCCAGTCGCTCGAGACATCCTCGCAACAGGGGGCCGTCGCTCGTAACATCCTCAATTCGGGGGCCACCGATCGAGCAAGCAAGCAAGCGAATCGTACACCAAGCGGTGCGTGGACAGGACAGGAACAGTATGCTACAAATGCGATACACGTCACAAATAGTCAAGCTGTGAGAGTGTGACGGTGCAGCGTGTGCTTCCAAGCGGGTCCAGACTGAGCTGCTGCCGACGCCGCGTGAACATCACCAAATATGCGGACATGCCCACAATTCAGGCGCACAGAGGCCGAACGGGGGATCAACAAAAATGCGAACGGGCCAGCCGAGAGGGGGAAACTAAAGTGTGTAGGAGGAAAAACCGCTCGAGACACCCGCACATCTCCGGCGCCGCCGCTCGAGACATCCTCACAATTTTTGCGCCGCCGCTCGAGACATCCTCGCAACTCGGGGGCCTTCGCTCGAGACATCCTCAGAACTCGGGGGCCGTCGCTCGGGACATCCTCGGGCCAGCCGAGAGGGAACAAAAAACGAAGAGGGAACCCCTCCTCTGGGGGTCTGGGTCCTCCTCCTCTTTCTCCTTTCTCTCCTCCTCCTCCTCCTCCTCCTCCTCCTCCTCCTCCTCCTCCCTCCTCTCTCCTCCCTCCTCCTTCACCTCCTTCTCCACCCTCCTCCCTTCCTCCCCCATCCCCTATCCCTCCTCCTTCCTCACTCCTCCCTCCTACCTCCTCCTCCTCCTCCTCCTCCTCCTCCTCCTCTTCCTCCTCAAGGGCATCCACCCCAAGGAGAGTGGTGTGACCCTGCTTCAAGACTCTTATAGTGTGCTATAGGCATGCAGCGCAGCGGTTGTGCTCAAAACATCCTCCGCCTCCGCCTCCGCCGCCTCACCCTCCGCCTCC